CCGGGAAGACGCGTGGGACCAGAGCCCCAGAGAAATCCGTCTCGCTGGTCACAGAGCGGGGACCAGGCCCCGCTTGTCATGGCCCAACCCTGCATTAAGGCCTCCTACCGGTGTCCCAGCGGTGTGAAAACGGGCACCTTGCCGTCTGTTCTGTCTTGCCCACAGCGCTGCTGTTGGCCAGGCACCTGCTCGTCCCCCTCGGCCTGCTGCCTGCCAGCTCTCCCCCGGCAGCCCCTCCCCTGTGCAGCCCTCACGCATCCCCCTTGCTGCCCTCCCATGGGCCCTTGGCGTGCAGCCCCTCCCGCTCTCCTCGCCCTGCTGTGCCCTCAGCTCACCAGCAGCCTGGCCCCTCCTTCCTCCGCTGCCTCTGGCCTTTCCACACTGTTCGCACTCAGCCACGCGGGATGGGGGTGGAGGGAGCAGGAGCTGTCAGCTCCCATGCATTCCCTGCTGCAATGGATCTGGCCAGAAATCTGGGAAGGCAAGCCTGAGACCCTCGTCCCCTCGGGCGGGTCTGTGCAGGGAGTCCAGCGGGGCATGGAGGGCACAGAGCAGCAGGCAGGGAGGCTGAGGTCAGTCAGTCACCCGCCCCCATATGAGGGATATCTGAGTGTGGGTGCAACGCCTCTCCCAGGATGAACCTGAAAGCCTTCAAGACAAAAGGTAATTCCGACAGTGCAGCTGGACAGGGGCTCTTCCCTGGGCCGCAGGCGGGCGCTGGCGCTGCACAGGTCTGACTGATCGCCCTGGAGCGCGCTTGAGTGGGAGCCCTTTTCCCAGGTGCCCCTATTCAGCACCGGGAAGTATCGTCACCCTCTGTAGAGACGAGCGTCCGGAGCCTTTGGAAGGGCTTGTGACCTGGAGCCAGGCAAGCACCGTTCCATTTCGAACCCTCCTGCGTAAGCGGCTGTGCTGGAGCCCTGCGCAGGCTTTGCCGTTCGGTGGGAGATGTCCAGCCGCACGCCCGTGGAGCAGCACGTGGAGCTGCATTGCTCCGAAATGGGAGCATGCGCCGGGGGATTATTTCGTTTCTTCCCAGTGCTTCGGGGGGCTCTTGGAAACAAGCTGTGGGCGAGGTGTCGGGTGACTGACTCAGCTGTGGGCCGTGTCGGGCGACTGACTCAGCTGTGGGTCAGTCCTGGTTCTCTCTGCTGCTTGCTGGGTGTCTGTTGCCTGTGTGCTCATTAGAGGTGACAGTCTTTAGTGGCTGGGGGGGTCAGGGGGGGCCCAGCCACACCAGGCTGCTCTGCCTTTTGTGACTCTGACATGCTGCCAGGGTGTGGTCGGAGCTGCCCCTCCCCCTGGGAGCCTCCTGCTTGCTGTGCAGGGCATGGGAAGAAGGGGGGGTGTTGATGTCAGGGTGCCCCTCCCCCCACCCTGTACCCCACCTCCACAAAGTGGGGGGGCAGCATGGAGGGAGTTTGTTGGCTTTTGTGGGGAGTGGGGCAGGCCCAGAGTAGGGGCAAGGCTGGCGTGGGGCCGGTTTTGTGCACACACTCGGGTCAGCGGCGCACCTGAGGACGGCCCTGGGGACAGGAGCTTGTTGCGTCTAACCGATCAGCCGGCACCCAGAGCAGAGGGCTGCTCCAGGCCCACGGGAGTCAGGAGCTGGGCCCCGGCGAGGGCAGGAGCGGCTGCAGCAGGAACTGGCCACCCCACATGCTGTGAGAGCCAGGAGCAGTAACTTGGGGTTACTGGAGCCTGCTAGCAGCATCCCCAGGTGCGGGGGGGCCCAGAGCAGGATCCCACTTAATCGGTTCCCGGGGTCAGTTGTCCTCCCAGGTAGGGGACGTAAGGTCCAGCCGTTCCCTGGGCTGATCCAGAGACATGGGAGCCGGTGGGGCTGTGGGAGGGGGAGTGGGCGGCTGCCCCGCCCTGCTCCATCCTGTCTGTT